ACAATGCAGTTTTTAGTTGAGTGAGACCAAGAATTATGCTATTTACAATACACTTTTCCTTTAAGCTCCTCTGGAGACGGAATTTTGACTCATTTTGGTAACTTCAGGAAATTTACAGCAAGCAAACGATCAAAAATGTTATCTACCTTTGTTAAGTCAAAAGAGTATTTCCTATGAAGGTCTTTCTTTTTAAACTGCTAATCAATTGTTGTATCTTTATGAATTAATGCCTCACAGATCACAGGTTCTTCCCTATAATCTCTGCTACATCAATCTCATAATTAGGATCTCTATAATACGTCTTGTACGATGCATTACTTCGATCTTGTTCTTCTTCTAGTAATGCTTCATACCTAGACACCTTATAGGTTAATTCCATTAAGTCTCTAAACTCAGTTAAGCCAAACTGCTTTTGAAGCCTAAACTCTAGACCATTTTTAGCCAATCTCACAAATTCAGGCTCTGGTAAGATGATCCTACATTTATTTCGTGCTCTTTTAAATCTGGCAATAAACTGAGTAGTTTTCTCATCAGGCCTTTGACTCAATCTTGCCAAGTCTGCCATGGAAACCTCTAGCTCTGTTTGGAAGAATTGGGTATGAAACAGAAATGCTTACCTAGTACTCCAAGCCAAAACAAAAACTAGTTAGTAATCAAATGCATGATCCTAGTTCATGTTAAGATGGCTAATGCAACACATGCAAAATGCAACTAGAAATAGGCTCGGCTATTCTAAGATGTCATGTGAAATGCAACTTGATACATGTATTCAAATTGGAATTGAAATACAGTACAGTTAGCATGATGCGCCAAGCCCGGTGCATGCAAGACATATGAATGAATGCAAACATACGAGCATAAGTATGCTAATTGAAACATGTCCTAAACTAACCATCAAAGCAGGTAAGTAAAAGGGAGAAATACGTGGGGTTGGAAGACATGCATCATACACACGCACACTTATTACAACATTGCCCTCTCTCGGAGGGACCGAAAGAATCATACAAATTAACTAACTAACAAGCTAATTAATTATTACACAACACTTAACTAATTAAATGAATTAATTAAGCTAAGAAAGCAGTAAAGAGGCCTTGGGAAGAGGGATGAATGCATGTATGCTCGGCTTTGCTCGGAAATCTGTCGCCATGCTCATGTTGCCTCTTTTTGCACTGCTCTGCACATCTGAAGACTGCACAAGCCCCAAGGATGTTTCAGAATCACTCCATGATCACTGTGGGATGTCACCGGCCAAGAGGAATGGTCGCCGGCCATGGAAAAGTGGTCATCGACCAGAAGTGTGGCTCTCGGCCAGAGATTTGTAGTCGGCCAGCACTGAATATGGTCAGTCGACCATTAATTCCTGCAGAACCTTGTTTTGCAGCAGCAGAGGGCAGACAAGGCATGGCAATGCATTTTTAAAGCAATGTGTGCAAAACCACCCTCCCTATCATGTTATGGACTCAAGGGAGTATGGCTTTCGACCCTCGGACCATCAATCACGCATTTCAATGCATAATGGCCAAAGAAGCCAAGTGTACAACTCAATATGGAATGAAATGCACAAAACACACAAAGGGCCCCAACCTCTATCATGATTGATCAAGAGGCAAGGGATGCACACACAATGCAATGCAACCTAGACAAGCAAGCAAGCATGCAAATAACTCAAGTGTGCAACAAATCTAATGCAACATGAGCATGTTAACATGCAATGTGCAATAGACATACAACCTAAACATGTGGACATGTATAGCATGCAACAACATGCAAAATGAAACAAGCATGCAACAACATGGTGAGATGGACTTACACTAAGACGGGTAGCTCTCAAGCATGCCAAAATCAATGGCCAAAAATGATGGAATCAAGGCACCAAAACTCATGCAAACATGCACAATGCAATGGCCCCGTGACTAAAGCACAAGATGTAACTCCCCAAGAGCATGGCAAAGATGAAACATGGCATACAATGGCATACATTCCAGCTCTGAAATGGCATACTAAATGACTCCGAAATGATGCAACGACTCGTGCAATGCATGTAGGAAGGCTCAAATACCGAAACTAGTGAAGCACATTACACTAGAGGTATGCAAACCAATGCACAAATGATGAAACCAACTCCTAACAGACCTAATGCAGTCCCTAAACAGTGGCAAAATGAGCTAAAATGAGGGCTTGACATGCACCAAAATGAAGCTCATGCAAAGGCTCATAAACAAGGCATAATGATGCAACTCTCAAACGCATCGAAGACATGCTAAACATGAGAATATGACACACATATGAGCTCTGAAATAGCATTCCCTATGATACCAAAACATGCAAACACCTCAAGCAACGCACGCAAGGGGCTTCAAAACTCAAAGGTAAACAAGGCTATTACACTACAACCATGCATGGAAAGCACCAATCGACCAAGAGGCCTAAAAACAGAGCTAAGGCAGCCCAAAATATGAACAAAACATGTTTGAAACATGGCCAAAATATGCTAGAATGGAGGGCCAAAACAACATGTAATATGAGCTAGTAAGCATGGTTTACACTACAAGCATGTGAAGCAAATAAGGGACCACCAAACCAGCCAAAAACAGATTCATGGCATGCCAAAATATGACTAAAAATCCACTGAAACATAGTCAACACATGCTAGAGTGGGGAGATCCTTTAATAAGCCAAGAAAGGGGTTACTCTACACATGCAAGAAGCAAACAAAAGGGGACCAAACCAGCCATGGACAGAGGCTAGGTAGGTCTTAAGAGTCACCAAAAAGGGCCTGAACCAAGCTTAGGATGCATGAAAATATGGGCTCCTTTGTAAGGCCAAAAATGAAAGTAAACAAGACAATAAGGAGAGGGGATGACCCTCTCCTTCTTAGGACCTAAAAACACCATCCCCAGAGGGATTTCAGTGGTGAGAAGGCCAATACAAGGTGCTCCCGAAACTCACAAAAAAGGTACAAAAAAGAGGCCAAACAAGGCCTAAGAGGGGGTAAACAACCCCAAACACAAAAGTAACCTTAAACAAAGATCAAAAGCATGCAAAATCAGGACTTTTATCAATTATACACTAAGCTCAAAACAGCACGCAAGACAGGCTAAAAGCTTGTGCAAAAATGGAGAATAAAAGAGGGAAAAGGAGTGTTACCCTTGTAGCCAAGAACTCCAGCAGCTCTGGACCCAAAAACTAGTCCCTTAGCCTCTGAAAATGGCCTCCAAGATGCTTAGACCAAAGGTGGAAGGGTTAGGCTAAGAGTTGTAGTGCAATGGGGCCAAGAACCTTACACTTTTGAGTTAAAATGAAGGAGATATAGAGAGAGAGATATGTGTATGGAGCCTTGGCCAAAAATTTGAACCTTTGCTAATGAGGGAGAGGCTCCCTCTTATAGAGGAACAAAGGTCCAAGCTTCTCTTAGAAGCTTGAGCAAAAAGGCCAAGCTTCTCTTAGAAGCTAAAGCAAAAAGGGTCAAGCTTCTTGAGGAAGCTAGAGCAAAGGGGTTAAGCTTCCTCAAGAAGCTAAGAAAGGTTCAAGCTTCTCTTAGAAGCTTGGAGCAAAGGGTCAAGCTTCTTGGAGAAGCTAGGCAAAGGTTCAAAAGGGTCAAGCCTCCCCTAAAAAGCTAAACCAAAGGTTCAGAAGGGTCAAGCCTCCCCAAGAAAAGGTCTCGGCCAGAAAAAGTGGCTGATTGATCAAAACAATGGCCGGCCGACCAAAAACAATGCCGACCAGCCAACACCTTTGGTTGGTAGCAAGAAAATAGGGCCGGTGGCCTCAGGCCATGGCCGGTGAGGTGTGAGGATGGTCAACAAGCCATTCCCTGCCCTTAGAAGCAATCACACAAGTGTTTGGTTTACAACCAAGCACAAAACAAAACCTTCGAGAACTCAAGACGAACACGAACATGGATAATCATCGAGTGTTTAAATGATGACGTCCAAGTCTTGAGGACGGTCAAAAATGGGGTGTCCACATTTATCTCTAGCCAATCTTTGCTGAGAGACATTTGAAATTTCCTCCATGTGTCTTGTGTTTGTTGGTTGGTGGGTATTCATTCAATCCAAAAAGGACGTTGCCCATTTTTCCATTGTGTTCATTAACTGCTGTCCCATGGCATCTACTAGGCCACCGCATAGATTCATTGGCTGAGTAGATGGAACAGTGGATGGTCCAATTCCTTGATCTCGTTCAATATTACGAACATGTGGTACTTGTTCCGAAGTGCTGGTCTGTTCGACCATAGGTTCTGATAAAATGGGTGTTTTCACAGGATGTGTTATTACATTATCCTCTGGATTAGGTATTTCTACCTCTCCTTGCACGCTTTCTTTCAAGCGTTCATTTTCTCTTTATCTCCTACGTCTAGCCATTTCAATTAGCCCCACCAGGCATGCCAAAAATATATGTTGGCTTTTTGGCTTTCGAAGGTTATTTTTGTAATTGTGAACGTGCCAGTAAGGATCAATCAGTCCTTACAGAAAATTAATTGCCAATCAATTATCAAACGATTGTGTTTTAGTTCTTTCAGCCTCAATGAAGAGAACTTTTACTGGTGGCTTGATTTAGGAGAATTAAGCAAACAACAATCAAATGAAGAACAATTTAAGCATTTCATTAAAATGAAAACTTACAATGATCCAATTCAGCTTCGTAGAGGGTTACAGTAACAATCTACTTGAAACTACTTCTATGAACGAAGTGCAGTGCAAGAGTTTTAAAGTACAAAAATGTAAAGAACAGGAAATGTAAAAACTGGAAAAGAAATAAAATTGATAAAACTGGTTTTTTGGATCTGAGTTTGGGGGTTTTTTCTGAGGCCTTCTCTTCTATTTATACTTCTCAAGGATAACCATCGAACTGCACTTCTAACCGTCGAATCGCTCCTCCATGATCGCTGATCATGTTGCCTTATAGTTAGCTCCACTATGCCATCACCTGTAGTTAAGCTTCCCTTATGATTTTGAATTTGAATGTGAGTAAACGTTGAAACCACATCACTTTGCATCTCTTTACTGATCCAGTGCTACGCAAATCTTGTAAGAACCAATACTAACTGCCACGTGTACGATTAAGATCGAAAACTTGAATAGTCTTCCCGTATTGCCCTTATTCTGCACGCGTTAAATTGTAATTGACTTATACAAAATACGCAGCCAACAACTTCTACTGTTTTTGAAGAACTTGTAATCCTTGTAACCTGAGGTGTTGAGTGTTTGGTCACTTCAAACTTCAGTACCGCTTTTCACCGCATATATAATTAATGAGTCACATACACCACGTTATTTCGTTCACGTGGCGTAGCCATTACTAAAATACTCTTATTGTTTTCGAAGTACTTGTAACCCTTGGACTTGTCTGTGTCTTCATGCCCAATGCTATACGTATTGCGAAGCGAATCTGTTTAACAACAACGAAGACAAAGGCTTTCCCAGGAGCCCAAACAAAAAAATTAAGGTCTAATTTACAGCAATAATCAGAATCTATACACTTGATTCTTTCAAGAGTTGTGCGATTTACGTCATGCTTTCCTAAGTAAGAAATAATTAACAGGAAAAGAGAGGCAACCGATAACACACAAGGCAATTGCAAGGCCTAATGAATGCGCTAGCACCGCATACATCCCTGTAATGAATGCAAGCACCATTGCTCCCACGGCAATGACAATGAGATAGTAAGCTGAGGCATAGTGCCTAAGAAACTTATCTCTATCTGAAGCACCAGCCACAACAAAGTAAATTAACATGACAGTGGTCGAAAATATCATGGCCATAAAATCCGTAATGACAAATGCTTTGAAAGCTGCTTTTCTGGCTAGAATTGCCGTGCCATGGTCAAGGCCTTGGCGGGCATCGTAGCCGCCTGGCACGGTGAAACCAGCAGCGAATGTTGCTGTTGTTATGAGCGCGGCCACTATCAAATGGGTGTCTGCTGATCTTCTGATATCTATTGGTAGGACGTTTTCAAGGACATGATGTCTCTCTTTGGTTACAATTTCATCTTTATCTCTGCTGAATACATCTCTCCTACCCAGATTAGCACCCGCATTTGTAAAATTTCTTTTGGTGAAACCCTGCAATTTTGTGTTCTGAAGTCAGATTGGGAAAATCTAAATGATATCGTATTGAGTAGTCAAAACTGAAACCCTTGAAACATCATTTTCCAAAAATTGTTAGTCTATGTCCGAAGTATATCATGGGGTAGTATGGTGCTGAAATTCATTTTGGTAACATCTGTTCTTTGATCAAAATTATTAGAGCATTACAGCTTTTTTATGTACATTTTGTCCCACCCAAATTCCACTTCTGTAAATTTTATTTCATCATTTTTTTACTCATTTTTTCTTAAGAAAGATGTCAACAAAATAAGTAGGAAATTTTTTTAGATCACTAAGTACACTTATTTGGAATGAAAGTGTATGATGTTTTGTAAAATCTCAGCTCCAAAACATAGATAGCTGTTTTCTGGTAACACTCTGTATGAGTGTATCAGCATCTACTGAGAGGATTAACTAAATATATACCACAAAAACCCTTGCTTATGATTGTATGTACCATGATGTAGAATCATTTCTAAATGGGCAAAGTTCGCATCCTTACCCACGGTTCAACACTTTTGTTGCTGCAGACTACGTCCAGAGGAGTCAAACTATCGTTGTTGAAGGCCATCATGTCCGCCTTAGGGTGCTTTACAAGACCGGCCTCATAGCAATCAGAAGCAGCAAGCAGATGAAGAGGTGTGTTCCCATCAACGTCTTTCTGATTTATAAGACTGCTCAAGGGGAAATTTTGCAAGATAAATTTGATTGCCCCCTTTTTTCCATATTTCACCGCAATGTGAAGCATATTCTGGCCTCTGCCATCAACTATCTCCCAACAATCCATACAGTGTGATGTAAGCTCTTCGATTACACGTACGTGGCCTTGGCTAGCCGCCAAGTGAAGAGCTGTCTTCTTGTCGTCTTTGTCTGCAATGTATGCAACTGATTTATCTGCGTTTAGTAGGTCTCTCGCTCTCAATACATAACCAAAGCGTGCAGCATAGTGAAGCGGTGTCCACCCATATGCATCTGCTTCCTTGCTTAGGGCTGGCTTCCATTGTAGCAATTTCCGTGTACATCCTAAAACAGAATCAATAAATCAAATTATTAACAAAAACAAAACAAAACAAATACTATGCTAGTAGCAACTTAGAAGAATTCTAAAATGTGTTTTCTCTTCAATCCTCTGTTTAAATCCAATTGAAGAATTCTAAAATGTGTTTTAGTTAGCTACCTTCAAGGTTGTGAATGACAGCCGAATGTAGAGCAGTCCTACCACCAGGGCCACCATAGGCCGGTACTGTACAAGTCTCCAAGATCACAAACACCAATCCAACATACCCTCTCTCTGCCGCCACGTAAAGTGGAGTCTCCTCCGCATTATTAGCAGGATGACAAAACTCAGGATCTTCCTGTGTCAACAATTGGACTGCAATCGGGTGGTGATTCCTCACAGCCTCGTGCAAGGCAGTGTCTTTCACCTCGTTGCTCATCCTCATCATGTCCTTGGCCGTCCCAACCCCATTCTCAAGCTCCTCATCGAGCGCATTCGCGTATTCAATCAGGGCTCGGACTATTGTGGAGTGTCCTTCCCTTGCTGCAATGTGAAGCGAAGTGTCGCCTTGTGAATTTACTTTTCGGTACATGGAGGGACACATATTTAGGATCTCCATGACAGACTGGATGTGCCCGAATTGGGCTGCGACGTGGAGGACAGTGTTGTTGTTTGGGGTGAGTTGGTTTTCGAGAAGGTTTTTGTTTTGGTTGAGGATTTCAGTGTTGCCTTCCATGGCTGCTCTGTATAAGCTAGTGTCCATGTGAGTGAAAAGTGAAAAGTGGTGGTGTGTTTGGCCAAGAGGCCCTATTGTGTTTAGAAATTGAATTGCCAACTTTGTTTCTCCTCCCAAATCATTTGCATACTCATTATCGCTATAGTTAACTCAAATCAAGTGAAACCGAATTAATGACACTTACGAAGCATGTGATTATTTCGTCTTGAAAATCGTTGGCAGGCCGGCAGGGGAGGTGAGGAATACAAGGTATCCTAATTGTCGCTGTCATATGTCAAGTTCGAAGCTTTTAAAAAGTTATTTGGTGTGTTTGGTTAGAGTTGTTCTGGAGCAAAAAGTAACTAGAAAGTAGAAATAGCAAGTAACATTCAGATAATTAATTTTTATCACATAAATTATAAACAAAAGTTGACATATTCTCAAAAAAAATAAAAATAAATAAACCTCTTCCAAACATGGTAAATATTGTTATTCGTCTTGTGGTTTCAAATTACGGACAAAATTTGAAACTATAGTGTGAAATTAAACTTGACGTAGTGCAAATTAAATTTTAAATGAATCGAATTTACACGTTATAAATTTAAAACATTTTACTAAATATCTTTTTATTTAGTACGTAACATTTGTTGCAATCCATAACCGCATGAACGCTTTTTTGTTTTTCTTTATGTTCTTTTCTAAGATGGAAGAATTCTTATTAGTCTTTTTCAGTGTTTGGTAACTTATAAATTCAAACAGATAAAGGTATCTTGTAACTGATAACAAACGTTGTGATTACATGATTTTTTTTAAATTAATTTTTTTTTTGAACCTTGTGTTTTGAGATTTAGTGGTGCTATATGCACTAATTAGTGTACTAATACTGTTATGACATTATTATTGATCCCACTCATTAATTACATTATAAATATAAAAAATCTTTTAAATTATGCCACATCATCAATTGATACACTAATTAGTGCACAAATTGATACATATAGCATTATTCTTTCATATTATGATGTTAATTCCTTGTCATTCTGATATCATCGGTTTAATCCTAGTATTGGAGATTCCAATAATTATCTCAAAACTCCAATGTTTGCACTTACTGAATTGATAGTTTTAATTTTAAGGAAACCAGACTCCTAGTCCAAGGTTTAATTAGATATTAACACAATGTTTGAGATGACGGAATTGATTTTCTAATTTTATTTTATTTTTTAACAAAATTTGTATTTAAACAGATAATTCAAGCATAATTGCCTTTGTTGGCCTTGTTTGGTGAAGGTTATTTTTTGGTTTTGGGGCTAAAATTCACACACAAAAAATAAATAAAATAAAGAATAAAGCTTGAGAGCTCGAAAATTTGCCCTCCCCTAATCCCCCTAATGCCCAAAACGACATCGTTTTGGGCATTAGGTTTTTTTTTCTTTTTTTTCTGCCATTTTCCATCATTTTCGAGCTCAAAACGCAGGTGGAAGAGGGAGAGGGAGAGGGAGAGAGAGAGAGAGAGAGAGAGAGAGGGAGAACGGAGAGGAGAAGAGCGGGGTATGCAGATTCATGGTAACATATGATGAAGAGAGGGAGAGAAGAGAAAAGAGGGAATGGAGACACACACACACAAATGGCCCCTGCATTCCGGCCGAGCGTCCGATCGTCGCAGCTCCGCCGATCGTCGGTCTGCCGTCTGCCTCCGCCGCCGCCGTCTGCCTCTGCTTCTGCTTCTGCTTCTTCCCTTCTTCCCTTCTTTTTCTTCCCTTCTTTCCTTCTTCTTCTTCTTCCCGTCTGCTTCTTCTTTCTGATTGAACCAAAAAAAAAAAAATTCAAAAACGCCGAAACGGCGTCGTTTTGGTTTCGGGGGATTAGGGGGGTCTTGGTTTCGAGCTACGTAGCACGTCTCTAAAATAAAATAAATTAAAATAGTTAATAAGACAAAATGTCACATCAAACTTATAATTATTTTATTTTTTCTCTCACAAACATCACATCTAATTATAAAAAAATTTAACTATCTTTTTTAGCACAAATATGTTAATCTATTAAAATAATTAAAAATTAAAATAACCAACTTTTTAAATGAGGCTAGAATATAAGGCTAGACAGATCAGGTTTTATTTATTTTTTCAAAAAAGTGAAGAAAACAGATACAAATATCAATTATGCCAGCTCTGTTGTGTAGAAAGTTCCAAGAAAATTCAACGATGACTTTGAATATAAACAGGAGCCGCCCTCAACCGTATTGCTTCTCGTAGTGCTACAGTGTAAGTCAACCACAGGGCTCTTCAATTGTGGAGACTCATAGGCACTTCGATTGTGGCAAGTGGAAAATTCTCAAGGTAAAAATAGTCAGCCTGATAGTTAGTTTGTTGGAGGCTCAAAATCAGAGTTAAATTGACTAAAATGTTTAACAGATTTAATTAATATATATTTGTGTCCCCGTGTATTGATTCTCAATTATACATTAGGTTAAGTTTCAGGAGAATGAAGTTATGAAAAATATGAAAAGGTTAAAATTTAAAATTTTTATTTATTTTATTTAGAGTGAAAAATATTTTCTTGTACAACTTGGGAATTTGACATCAAATTTCATTAAAAAATAATTTTTTGTGTTACTTTTTTTCTTTTGCCCCTCTGTGTTTGAATCAAAAATTCAATAAGAGATCTATAGAATAAAAGATAAAAGAAAGAAAAAGTAAATGAAATAAAAATTAATTTTTTTCATTTTTATTTTAACCCACAAATCTACCTCAAATCTTTAATCCAAACAATTGAATCATTTTGATTGAAGAATTGAATTTTAATCAAACAATACTTGTTTTAGTATATTTTTATCTTTAAGGTGTTCATTCCTAACATTTTTAATAGGGGGTGGGAAGCATATATTTGATTCGTCAAAATTAAATGGTTTGAACCAATTCATCATAGAATATGAACGGTTTTAATGGTCTGAGCAAATGGATATGGATGTGTTTTTTCCAATTCAACAAAGTTCTCAGAAGGATATCAGATGGAAGACCACTTGATCCAATTCAATCCGCTAATACTCTTAAAAAAATGAAATTATGTTTTTATGCTTTGTGTGTAAAAAAGAACACTTCTAAAAAAATTATATCTACTATTTAAGAAATATGAGAGCTAAACCTTTATTTTTGTTATAAAAAATGAATAATAAAAATAATTAAGTTCAAAATAGTATAGAATTACTAAAAATAATTTTTAAAAAGGGCCTAAAACAGTAAATCCCAAATGGCAAACCAATTCGCATATCACTCACTCGTCAATTCGCACAGCACAATCTATCCATATCCTCTAACTAAGCAAACAAATACGAATTGATTTTTTTTCCAATTGTCTAAATTTGAATAGATAACGGATGAGAGATGTACGGGAAAGAAATAAATCTTCTCGTATAATCCTGTTGATCAAGTCCGCGCTCCTCAAAACGTTGTCGCTTTACTCCCTGAAAACACAAACGTGAGCTAGCCGGCGGGTGTGTGCCGGAAACCTCTCTGATGCCTAAGTCAGCAAAATAGACAAGTAGACAAAAGCTCTGTGTATTCAGGAATCAAAGTTGTGTTACCTCGCCACAGGTGATGTTGTAAGCTTTTATAGGTTCCGCATGGCACAATCCTAGTAGGACTTTCACTCCTCCATGTAGAGTCCTCCTGGGATTCATACTCCTGAAAGATAATGATTATCCTTCAACACCCCCCTCACTGCATAAACCAAGTGAGATGGTTCTACCATGGTCAGACTTCAACATGACCGAGGTAAGCATGGCTATATGACCGAGGTAAGCATGGCTATGCTAAGCCGCAGACTAGACCGAGATAAAATTAGTTCGGCTCTTCCATTCACTGCTCTTACCTTGGCTTTTCTTAATGCTAACCACAGTATGTCTAGACTGGAATAACCAATACTCCGGTCCAAACCGGGATAACTTTGTGAGTGACGACCAAACTTACCGTAAGCTCTTTGGGACCGGAGTAACTTCAGGTCTCTCGCGGACCGGAGTAATTTTACACCTCTCTTGGGCCGGAGTAACTTCATGGCCTTTTTACTCAGCCCTTCGCACTGTGGCCCATAACGGCCCATTACCCAGCTCGGCCCAATTTTCATATAAATTACCCTCTCAATTGCCCCTTAATTCCATCTGCGCAGCATGATAGGGATTACCTTGTCTACCAGCCGAGCTAAAAAAACTCTTTAGCCTTTCCGACCGAGCTAAAAGACTCTTTCAGCCTCTCCAGCCGAACTAAATTCACGCCGGCTCTACCTGTCCGGTCAAAACGTCTCTTCAATCACAGCAACTGAATCGTTTCTCATTCCAAGGACACGTGGCCCCCCTGATTGGCCCAATGCAGCTGTTACGCCGTCTTCGTTCTCTGTGTATTTTGAACAGTTCCCGCCTCTGGTCCTTGCATCAAAACGAAACTCTTTGTTTGTTTTTTTTTTTTTTTGAATCACTTACCACACTATTCATTTCCTCTTCGCACTCTCTCGTTCCTGAGCTTCTTTAACCTTGAACTTGCTGAGTTCGTGTTCTTCATTGCCGTTACTTCCATCTCTGATTTCGTCCTCCTGACCTGGTAAGTTTACTCAAATTTGCCTTGTTTTTTGTTGTTTTCGTATTTGCTTTCACAATACATGTATCTTGTGTGTTTTTTCAAAACACATACCTTTCTTTCGTGTAATAGAACCTCTGGCTTTTCACGAATAAACTGAAAAACACTGATTTTGATCCAAGATCATAGTATAACCGAACTAAAAAGTCGTTTGTAGTTGATGTCATTCTAGCCAAACCATTCAACCGAACTAACACTTCACGTTATACCATTAGTTTTAACAATTCAAACCACCTCTTATTTTAACTCAGCTGAGCTAGCAATCCGCACTAAGTCTGCGTAATAGTGTGTTTGTTAGTCTCAACCACGGTTGAGCTATGACGGGCTAAACCAGCCTTCGTAGTTCAGCCGAACTACAAGTGCTGCCACTAGAGGCTCAACCGGGCTAACAAAAACCCTTGCATGAACCGAGATAACGAACCCCTTATATAAACCGAGATACCAAATCC